ATTCCCGCATCTGCTACGGCATCGAGGACACGCTCAAGGCCCTGGACCTCGGCGCCGTCGAGACGCTCATCGTCTTTGAGAACCTCGAGATCACGCGCTACGTCCTCAAGGACAGCGAGGGGGCCGAGATTGTCATCCACACGACCAAGCAGCAGGAGACGGGCGACCGCTCGCAGTTCATGGACAAGGCCACCGGCCAGGAGATGGACATTGTGAGCCAGGAGTCCTTCCTCGAGTGGGTCGCCGAGCACTACAAGGATTTCGGCGCCACGCTCGAGTTCGTCTCGGACAGGTCGACCGAGGGCAACCAGTTCGTCAAGGGCTTCGGTGGCATCGGCGGCCTCCTCCGCTACAAGGTCAACTTTGAGCAGCTGGCCGATTTCGACGATGATGATGATGATTACTACGATGATTGACCGACCGAATCCCCTAGCGGGGGATCGACCCAAGTGTCCACGTCCCTGCCTGATGACGGGAAGGAGTGCAACCTGGGCGCCAGCGAGCCCGAGCCAGAGCCAAGCACCAGTGTCGCGCGTCGGAGCATGACGACTGGGTCGCGGAAGCGGCTGGCCTCGGGCTACCAGACGGCGCGCCCGAGCCCGCTCCGCACTGTCATGATGGCCACTTGAGTCACGAACAGCGAGATTGGAGGTGAGCCGCCCCCTGGCCCTTGACGCAGGCAGATGACCTTGGCCCGGCGAAGGAGCGAGCTGACTGACATGGCTAGATGCGTCTGCCTCTTTCGGCCAGTCGAGAAAAGCCACATGCTTTCGCCGCAAGCGACTGATGGGAAGGGGGGGCGCGGTTGGGTTGACGATGATGTCTGCTTAGACTAGCCGCGTCATGATTTAAAAAAAAAAAGGGGGCAGCTAGGAAGATAGACCAGTCGTCTGTGCATTACAAAGTGTTTTGACTCCGAGTTGTGTCCCGCATTTGTGTGATGATTTGGTGAGACGGCAGAGTGGCGTGCTTGAGGAGTGATTGTTTCGTTTTGGTGGGCAGCATGAGTGTGCAAGCTCTTCCTCTGCGATGCTGGCAGTCACGGAGAACCACGCAAAAGTCTGGCGATCGATGATCAGAATGACCGAGTGAATGAAGCAAACTACAGATAGTGCAGTGCGAGATGTCGTTTCCCTGAGACCGATCGTACTCAGAAGAGACCAGCCGCCCAGCTGCTCATTTCTCCCTTGGTCCCTGCACACATCTTGGTGCGCACAGACCAACACAGACCAGTAGCCTCGCAGCCTCACAACCAGGAACCTCAACTTTGAAAGCCAAAGGAAGCTAGAGCAATCATTTCCTCTTGCTTGCTCCCAGCTCCCACACACTGCATCCTCGACCATCCCCCATCTCCCACCGGACGACCGAACGCATCTCACCACGCCATGCGCTGAGATACACGCGCCTCACCATGTCGACACAGCGCAACGGCACGTCCAACGGCGCCAATGGCGCCTACGCGACGCCCACGAGCAAGCGCTTCTCCGACATTCCCTCTGCGATCGACGTGCCCGTCCATGGCGAAGCCGAAGACGAAGCCGTCGAGATTGACCTCGAGGCCCTCTTCGATGATCCCACAGAAGTCTGCACGCTGCTGGAGAACGAGCGAGCGGCACGCACATATTGGATGACCGTGGCCCTCGCCTACGCCAAGCAGAAGAACATCGACCATGCCATCGAGATGCTGGTCCGTGGCGGCAATTCCATGCGCGACAACACCCCGCGAGAAAAGCTCAGCCTCATCGGATGCCTGTGTTGGATGTACCTGTGGAAGGTCCGCGAGGCCCCGCGCCTGCCCCCCGACGGCGTGCCGGCGAGCGAGGCCAAGACGAAGGAGCACTACCTTCAGCTGGCGACGTCGACGCTCAACGACGCATCACGCATCAACCCCGCGTTCCCGCCCTTGTTCCTCGCGCGCGGTGTTCTGCAGCTGCTGCGCGCGTCGCTGCAGATCCCCAAGGCCACCGGCCTCGGCAAGCTGGACAACGAAAAGGCAGACCTGCTGCGGGCGGCGCTCAAGGCGTTTGAGGACGCCATTCGCGTGTCGCAGGGCAAGAACATGCTGGCCGTCATGGGCAAGGCGAGGGCTCTCTTCTCCCTCGGCAAGTTTCCCGAGTCGCTCGCCTGCTACCAGGAGGTGCTCAGCAAGATGCCCGATCTCGTCGATCCCGACCCGCGAATCGGCATTGGCGCCTGCTTCTGGCAGCTGGGGTTCAAGGACGACGCGAGAAGCGCCTGGGAGCGCTGCCTCGAGATCAACCCGGACCACAAGGTCGGCAACATCCTGCTCGGCCTCTACTACCTCGACGCAAGCGGCCACGTGCCGACAAACAGCCCCGACTTCATCCGTCTCTACAAGAAGGCCATGACCGAGTACACGCAAAAGTCCTTCAAGCTCGACAAGAACATGCCCCTGACCTGCGCCACCTTCGCCAACTACTTCCTCTCCCGCAAGCAGCTGGGCACCGTCGACACGCTCGCGCACAAAGCCATCCAGTACACCGACGTCAACGCCATCGCCAGCGACGGCTGGTACCTCCTGGCCCGCAAGGAGCACCACGAGGGCGACCCCAGCAAGGCGTCCGACTACTACCGCCGAGCCGACGATGCCAGGGGCGGTGCGGACCCGCGGCTACCTGCCCGCCAAGTTTGGCGCTGCCCAGTAATCCGTTAAGAGGGGCGACCTCGCGGAGGCCAAGCTGACGCTGGAAAAAATGGTCCAGCAGTCCAAGCACCATGAGGCTCTGGTCCTCCTCGGCACGCTCTACGCCGAAGAAGTGTTTGCGAACCAGGACCTGGACGCCAAGGAAGACAAGTCGGCCGAGACGAAGAAGGCCATTGGGCTCCTGGAGAGCGTGCGCGGCGCGTGGCGGGACTCGAAGAAGAATCTCAAACCCGACGCGGCCGTCCTGCTCAACCTCGCCCGCCTCTACGAGGCAGAGCACCCCGACAAGGCGCTGCAATGTCTGCTGCAGGTCGAGCAGCTCGAGATGGACCTTGTCAGCGCGGCAGACCGGCCGCCACCCGAGACGGACGAGGCCGAGACGAAGAAGGCTCTTCGCAGGTTCCTGCCGCCTCAGCTGCTCAACAACATTGGCTGCTTCTACTCACAGTCGGAGAGGCACGAGCAGGCCAGCGAGCTGTTCGAGGCGGCGCTGGACGCGTGCATGAAGCTCGGCGAAAAGGACGAAGACGCCGACGTCGACGCGCTCGTCACGACCATCAGCTTCAACCTCGGCCGCAGCTACGAGTCCCGGGGCATGCTAGACGATGCCGTCAAGGTGTACGAGGAGCTCCTCAAGCGTCACGACGACTACACAGATGCCCGCGTTAGGCTCGCGTACATCAAGCTGCGGAAGTTCCCTCACAAGGAGGGCCCCGAGGCCGTGTCCAAGCTGTACAAGGAGAACGCGAGGGATCTGGAGGTGCGCGCTCTCTACGGCTGGTACCTGGGCAAAGTGCCGTCGCGGAAGAGGTCAGGCAACATCAACGAGGACGACGAGTTCCGTCACTACAAGCACACGCTCCGCGACCACGACAAGCACGACCGCTACGCGCTGGTCGGCGCCGGCAACCTGCACCTGCTGACGGCGCGCGAGATGCGGCGCGACAGCGACAGCGACAAGGCGAAGCGCAGCGCCATGTACACCAAGGCGGTCGAGTTTTTCGAGAAGGCGCTCTCGCTGGACCCTCTCAACGCCTACGCCGCGCAGGGCATCGCCATCGCGCTGGTCGAGGACAGGAAGGACTACAAGACGGCGCTGGGCATCTTTGTCAAGATTCGCGACACGGTCAAGGATGCGCACGTGTTTGTCAACCTCGGTCACATCTACGCCGAGCTGCGGCAGTACTCGAAGGCTCTCGAGAACTACGAGACGGCGCTGTCGAAGGAGGGCAAGAGCAACGATCCTGTCATCCTGGCGTGCTTGGGCCGTACGTGGCTGAACAAGGGCCGCTCGGAGAAGAACCTCGACGCGTACAACCAGGCACTGTCGTATGCGAAGAAGGCAAGTCACATACGAAAAGGGCGCGCATGCATCTCTACGTCATGACGGCTAACATTTTTGTCACAGGCTCTCGAGGCTGCGCCGGAGCAGGTGCACTACAAGTTCAACGTGGCTTTCGTGCAGATCCAGCTGGTGTCGACGATCTACCTGCTGCCGGAGACGGTCCGCGTGCTGCAGCAGCTGGTGGACGCGCAGGAGGGGCTCGAGGCTGCCATCTCGGTTCTCGA